ATGACTATTCAGTTCATCTCTATGGACAGGCAGCTTCTGGCCACATCATAGTCTAAATCAGGGCTCCCCAACCATGGCAATTTTAAGACGTGTGGACTTCAATTCCCAGAATTCCCCAGCCAGCCATGCTGGCTGGGGAATTCTGGGAGTTGAAGTCCACACATCTTAAAGTTGCCAAGGTTGGGGACCCCTGGTCTGAATGATTTCACTATTCTGAAATCACAAGTTCCAACCGGCTAGCAAAAATGCTAACAACTTTACCCTACAAGGCTTCTGGAATTTAGGCTGGTAATTCTGAAACTCTAATTAAGGATTAAAAGTCCTAAACAATAATTTCATCCATTCTTTTCTGCTGGTATTTTAAATGGTGCCATCTCACAAGACATTAATGACGCCAAGAATCTGGGTTAAATCAATGCCGTCAGCCATCAGGTAAATTTGCCACAACTTGGAGAGCTAAGAAAATTATGACAGCCCCTCACAATTTAGGGCGGGGGTACCCAATCCCGAGGCCACAGACTGGTATCCGTCCAGGGCCTGCTAGGAACCAGGCCGTGCAAGCAGCAGGTGAGAGAGTGAAGCTTCCTCTGTGCATGCGCTGGATCTAGGTTGCATGCGAAACCACCACCCCTCCCAGTCCGTGGAAAAACTGTCATCCACAAAACGGGTCCCTGGTGCCAGAAAGGTTGGGGACCGCTGATGTAGAGGACTTGTTTCTTCTGCAATAGCTTGTGCTTGATTGAGTAACCACCTAAAAGTTTCTCAACTTTCTCCCTGATTACATAACATTATTACTATTGTGTTCTATCAACCTGTCCACCACTGAAGCAACAATCTAGCTAAGCCAGGCTGCATTTAGGTGTACTGGTTAAGGTGCTGGTGTAGAAACCAGGAGACCATGACTTCTAGTCTTGCTTTAAGTTGGATGACTTTGGGACATGACCCAACTCACCTGACAGGGTTGTTGTTATGAGGAAAATAGGAACGAGAAAGGAGTATTATGTTGCCATCTTGAGTTACCATTAACAAACAGACAAAAAACAGGCAACAGCATCCACAGATAATCCTTGGTCTGTCTCTGCAGAAAAAGCTAATTCAAAATCCTTGGTGCTTTCTAAGCAATTCAGTCTATATGCCAGGGGTCTTCAAACTTGGCAACTTTAAGACTTGCGGACTTCAACTCCCAGAATTCCTCAGCCAGCCCTGGCTGGCTGAGGAATTCTGGGAGTTGAAGTCCACAAGTCTTGAAGTTGCCAAGTTTGAAGAGCCCAGTCTATGCTTTCTTCAATTTAGTCTTTGTACACTCCAAGTCTGTTTCTTCGTTTCCTACAACCATGCTGCCTTCCTCCCTTTATCTTCAAAATCTTTCAAAAGTGCAATTTAAGTCGGTCTGTTACATTGCTTTTTTCTTCCCCATTTCCTCCAACTTTATATACTCTTCATTCGTCATCCGTTTATGGCCATTCCACAAAGGCCATACTCCTTGAGCAGTATGTTCTTACTTGTGTGGACTCATTTTAATGCAATATTTGAAAATGCTTCCTTCACTGGAGGCCATGGTGTTTTAGTTCTGAATTTTTTATAGACACACACTTTTTCAAAGGCCCTTTTTCCATCTGAATTTCCCCCCCCTCTAACATAAATGAGGGGGAGATGCTTCTGAACCAAGTATGGTCACCTCAGCTTTTCCTCACTGGAACAAAAGAAAACTAATATTATTACACAAAAATGCTTCCACAACTTCAGGTAACTCTACCGAAACAGCAAAGCTACCAAGTGTAAGGCTTCACAACTCTGGGCATTTTTTTCTAGTGGCAAAACAACAAATATTCTAGAATGCTATAAATATCCCCACTATACATCGCAGTTAAAAAATGGTTCTCCACACCTCTCCCCCAATATTACACCCCGTAGTTAACTGTTAAAGCCAGTGCTGCTAAAAAATCAAATGCTCTTTGAATTAAAAGAAAATCTGCTTCTGTGTATAATCTGAACTTTTCCAAAAGAGTTTTTGGAAATCAAAAAGAGAAATGGAGCACTGTTCCTTAGGCATCTTATATTTTTCTTCCAGAATATGCCATTAAGAAACTGAACTGCCAAAAGGAGCAGCAAATTGAGGTCAGAGAATAAAGTTTAGGAAAGCCACACATTACTCAGATTCAACATTAATCAGGCGTAATCCATATCTTTGCTCCGATGAGTGTTACTCAATAAAGTTTAAAGCTGATTTGAAAGCAATCAAAGGACAGGAAAGAAGACACCCATTCTCTGGAGGACCTTAACTAAAGAATCTCAAAAGCTGACTTTTCACATAGACTTTAGACCTAAAAAACATTCTAGAAAACTTAGCATTACAGTTCTAGAAGTCCACACTATTAACAAAGCAATTCCCATTTTTTTTCCAAAATGACCAGATATATCAAGCACATCAAAGACAGAACAAGTTGATCCAGTGTTTTCAACGTGACTACCTGCTCACATGTACACAAGTACACGTTAATCACTACTTGAGTTTGCTCATATTCTTCACAAAACTTTAGTAAATAAAATAAACTTCTGGAGCACAGTTTAAATTTTAAGTCACCTTCTTATTCTAAGCCACAAAATAATAAAACTGGTTCAAAATGGATACGCCAACACTACAAAGCGTTGGACCCCTTATCCTGCCTCTCCAAGAATGGGACTTCAGTGCTATATTGTGCCTTTGTACAGCAATCTTGGAGAAGTATCCTTTAAATTCTAGCTTTGTTTACTTCACCAGGCAATAATATTGTGGAAAAATGGAACTTTAATAGGAATCTTGTCACCAAGTCTTCCATTAAATCATCATTCAAAGCTTTTTCACTCAAGTTCTCTTGAGTGAGAGGGGGAGGGAGCTGAATAAAACAGAATATTCATTGCTGTTTAACTAACTTCATGAGGCTCATAAACAGCAAATGGATAAATGGCCAACTAGTACTTTTGGGAGAGTGCAGTTATGCTGTTAACAATGGAACAAGGGCTGGCAACAGACACAGACTCCCTCATTTTCCAGAATAAAATGCATTTTATATATTCCCAAAATAAATTGAAAACATTTTAGCAGGATGACATTCTTGCACAAAGCACATCTTGATTCTCTGGTTTCCGTTAATGTCATTTTCACCCTTTCTGAGTACCCTTTTTTTAAAGTCAGGATGGGGAAATTATTTCTATTTAATCCCCAATATTACAGAGTGATTCTTTAGAAAAATATTGTGCAATAAATTTCCACATGAATTGTTAAGCTCTGAATGACTTCTCTCCTTGGGTGTAAACTTACCTTCTCTTACAAAATACTTCTTTCCCCCCAAAACATTTTATACCTCAATTTCTCAGTCGTGTCAACCAAGCAGTATCTGATATACTATATTTTGCTTTTATAAACATCCAGTCCACATAACAGTGTGGGTGTCTTGCTACATGCTTTCTATGGACATTGTTCCAACTCTTTAAGCTACCCAACATAAGCAGCATTAGAGCTATTTAGTATCGAACATCCATACTTTTTTCTTTTGGAAATAGACACTTTCTAAAACCTTCTAACAAAAAACGTGGAATGGAAAATTTGCCAGCACAAGCGCGTTTACTGAAATCAAACAAGGTGAGGATCCCGTATGCTTACGAGGCTTGGAAATGGCGGAAGTTAAGGAATTGCTGGCACAACTTGCTTGCCCATTGTTCACAAAAGGACAGCTTCATTAAGCAACACACCTGCTAATAATACTTGCACAACAGACTGAACCTACACCATTCAGAACCAGAGCCGTACATTACCAAAGGCTAAAACATGACAGGCCCCTTGAAGTCACCAGCAGCTTTTACGACACCACTTTGCTTTACAAATCCCAAACAATTCCCCTTTGCAGGAAAGAAGAGGTCGGGGGAATAACGGAAGCTCAGCAGATTGCAGCAATTCCTCCTAAGGAGGCTGAACCCGTAAGGGAACTGCAGCACCTCTGCAATATCTTCCAGACCAGTGTTTCTCAACCTTGACCATTTTAAAGCATGTGGACTTCAACTCCCAGAATTCCACAGCCAGCAATGCTGGCTGTGGAATTCTGGGAGTTGAAGTCCACATGCCTTAAAATGGTCAAGGTTGAGAAACACTGTTCCAGACCATCCCCCTAAAAAGGAAACTTTTGAAATGGGGCTCAACAAACAGGTTCCAGCGGGGTGATAAAGGAGTTTTCCATCTCTCCCCCCCCCAAAAAAAATCACCCTTAAGAAGGAGGCCGATGATTTTGTACCTGACAGCTCTTCTCTTCTCCCTCCCCCCCCCCGGAATTCAAACCACCTTCTCCTTTCCCAGCACCAACGCGCAAGTTCTCGTTTATGGCGGCTCCAGTCGCTCCTCCAGCTCTGCAAGGCCTAAAAAGGAGCCCTACGGGAAAGCGAAGGGTCCCCTCCCTGTCTCTCCCCNCACACACACACACACACACACACCAGCCCCGGCTCTCGTCCCTCCCCTTCCCGGACCTTTACCTCCTTTGCAAAGCGCTCTCTCTCCCCCCCCCCCGCTCCCCTTTGCAGGTCTGCGGCGCGCCTGCCCCTTTAAAGGGATGCGGATCGGGAGCCCAGAGCCCGCTGGGCTCTCCTCCCCCTTTTGCAACCCAGCTGCGGCCCTCCCGCGTCGGAGCCCCAACAACAACAACGACGACGACGAGCCGCGCTCGTGTCCACCCCTCCCTCCTTTTTCTCTCCCCCCCGGGTAAAGAGGGGGGGGCAAGAAGAAAGAGCCGCGCGAGGAAGCGAAGCCGAATCCCGCGGCGCCGCCGCCGCCGTCGTCGTCCTGCGCCATCGGCTCTCCCCTCCCAGCCCCTCGGGAGCACCGGACGCAGGCGGGGCCCGTCCACCCCCCCTCCGGATTGTGTGTGCGTGGGAGGGGGGGCAGGAGGCCGAGGCGTCCCCCCCCCACTTCCCTCGGGCGCGCCCCGGTCCTTCGCCGTGGCCGTGCCCCCCTCCCCCTCCCCGGGCCCTACCCTTGGCGAGGGCGACGGTGGAGTTGTCGGTGTCGATGGTGTAGAGGATGCCCTCGTAGCGGATCTGCGCTTTGGAGATGAGGCTAATCTTGCTCCCGATGTACGGCGTGCCCGAGCTCATGGCGTCGGCGCGGAGGGGGGGCCAGTCGGCCGCGCAGGCGGAGGGTGGGAAGGCCTCGAAGACGGCCCCGACTCAGCCCGGCGGCCGGGCCGGACGAGCTGGGACTGCTGCGGGGTGGCGGGGGTGTGTGTGGGAGGGAAGGAGGGAGAGAGGGGAGGGAGAGAGGGGAAGGGTGCCGCAGGAGGCGACCCAGAGATGGCCCCGCGGACCAGGACGGAGCGAGGCGTCGTCGTCGTCGTCTTCGTCGGCGTCGTCTCCTCCTCCCTTGCACCCCGCGGCTGACGGGCTGTCTCGGCGGCACGCGCGCGTCCCGGCCGGGAGAGGGACCCACCGCTCGCGCCTCCGCAGCGGACTGAGGAAGAAACCCCCTGCCGGCCGCTCCTTTTATAGACCGCGGGCAGGGGAGGGGAGGGGGGATAATGGAAGAGCCGGCGGGAGGCAGAGAAAGGAACCAGATGAGGACTGCGCGGAGGAGGAGGGGGGGGAGGAAAGAAGGCGGGAGGGACGAGGAGGAGGGCGGGGCTACGCAGGCGCCGCGGGCTCAGCGCGCGCGCGCGCGAGCGCGCCGGGCGGCTGGCGAGTGGAGCGGGAGGAGAAAGGGGGCGGGGAGAAGCAGGTAGGCGGGCTTGTTTTGGATGGGGGGGGAGAGGGGTCACGTGACGGCCCAGCTGCTGCCATTGTAACGTGGGAGGGGGCGGAGGGAAAAGGAGCGTAGCGCGCGCGCGGCGGTGGAAGAGTTGAGTTGCGCTTGGGCTCGTTCGGAGCGCATAAACCTGGTTGCTGAACTAGGGAGTCTCTCCTCACCCAACCCAGCCCCCACTCTCCACCCCGGTTCTTGATCGCATCCCTAAAAAAGCGTGCATCCCCCAAACACAAATTTAGCATGGGCGGTGAATGGCACAAGATACACGTGTTACAGTGTTTCTCAACCTTGACAATTTTAAGGCATGTGGACTTCAACTCCCAGAATTCCACAGCCAGCATTGCTGGCTGTGGAATTCTGGGAGTTGAAGTCCACATGCCTTAAAATTGTCAAGGTTGAGAAACACTGTGTTAGGAGATCGGGGAGCTTACCGGGGATCTAGCCACTGGATTAGCCCAATGTGCTTCCCTGTGGTTAAAGGAAAAATGGGTTGCTCGGTCAACCTCTTAATTCCTGGGTTTGCATGATGAAGCAGGAACGCAGGTCAGATCTGCACAACCTGCTAAGCCAAAATGCTCAGCTGGTTTGTAGCTGGGTGGGTGCCCTGCCCTGGTATTCAGACGAAAGGAGCTTTGACAGATTCTGCTGGAAAATTAAAAAAAGGCTGGGTAGGTGGTGATGTACTATTTGATGGTATAATTTACAAGATAAACTAAATGCAATGCAACTTCTTTCATCATACTGGAGTTGTAGACTGTTGTTATGGCTTAGTGTCCTGAGCAAATCCAGCCAAATGTGGTTTATTTAACATAGTTAAACAATTTACCCAATCAACATTTTTATATTAAGAGTCAATTATAATTAACATTTAAGGTTGGTAACAAATGAAGGATATCTCCTGGGAGTTGCAAAAGTAGAATGGAGCAAGCAGTTTGGAAGAGTGTGTAGTGTTTGTATGTGCGTGTGTATACAAATATAGTCAATACAAGTCTATACAAATATAGACTTGTTTTACATCTGTAGAGCAGAAGACCTAGATGGATGGTATTATACAGTATATGTGACATTGGTGATGATATAATGGTGCCAAGTGACAGCAACTTCAAGAAGAAGGAATATGAGAAGTGCTAGAGCCTGAACTGGAGAGGATGTGGAAAGTCAAGGCCAAATGGCCCCAGTAGCAGTAGAGGCACTTGGGGCTGTGATTCCTAAGCTGGGGTGAGTGTCTCCAACAGATCCCAGGAATCTGAGACAGCAGAGCTCTCCATTAAGAAGAATGCAGTTAAGGAAAAGCTAAGATACAGTGCAGGACCCTCAAACTCCCAGACCCCTGATAGAAGGCCCAAGATTGCAGAGCACAGAGACCACCTATATAGGGTGAGAAGATATTTTTTTATATAAAATTCAAGGTAGCAAACATAGCTAATACTCCTATTTCCCCCTCCCCCAGCAACAGTCCTCTGAGGTGAACTGAGAGAAAGTCACCAAGAAGTCTAGAATTTTCTAAGACAACAACTTCACCACTACACCAAACTGGCTCCCATTTGCCCAAAAACCATATTAAATTCAGTTTGCTTCAAAAGATGACCAAAGAATGTGTACCGCATTCTTAATGTTATTTTATAATGATTTGTAAGACAACCAATGGATTTTCAAGCTGGTTTACATTCCCAGATAATATGTAATGTTATGTTGGGATAAGAGAATATTCTATGACCACGTGTTGGAAATAGGTGGGATTGTCTAATCAGGTACAAATATATAACATTGCCACCCATCCCTGAAGAAAGTTTAATTGTAAATACATCTGTAATGTCCAACTTCTAAAGGGTAGTTATGTTAATCTTTTGCAGTAAAACAATCCTGTGGCACTTTAAGTGCTAATTTGTAAGAACATCCTTTGTGGATGCATAATAATAAGTGAGGCACATTGACTGCACTTATCCAACATGCTAACTTTTAAAAAAGCGATTAAGAAACATATATAATTTCATGCTATATTTTCTCCCACACCTCTATGTTCACAGCTCTTTAAATGAAGCTTTCAGAAACACAATCTACTTCATCACAAATCTCAGGAAAAAAGCTACATGTTAGGGGGGAAGTTGTGGAAGGTGTCCCTGTATTTGATAACTAAGCTTTTTATGGGGTTGCAAATCACCTAAGATCCAGTTTGAATCAATTCAGGGGAAGGTTGTCAATTCTACATGGAAAAAGAAATGTTTAGGCACATGCAAATGTTTATCAATTTAGAACCACCTGATCTGATTTTACAAATCCAGCTTTTAAGATTTGCTTTGAAGAGATGATTTAGTCAAATTTTCTTTGAATCAAAACTTTGGAATGGGCTAGTAGCTTTTCCATATGCTATGTAAATGCAGAAAGTGGGTTGGATCTAGTTTTAATACATTTTAGAAAAGTAAATTGAAATCAGTGGGATTTAAGTAAGTAACATCTTCAATCAGCATTAGGTACAAACAAGATCACTATCTTAGCTTATTGCAGAAAAATGTTAACAGTCATTGCAAGAGGGTCAAAAAAGTTCAATGGGGAATAGAATAGAATAGAATAGAATAGAATCTGGAAGTGACCTCTTCTAGTCCAGCCCCCTGCTGAAGCATCTTATACCATCTTAGACAAGTGATAATCTTTTCTTAAAAACCTCCAGTGATGGAGTGCCCACGATTTCTGGGGGCAAGCTGTTCCATTGGTTAATTGTCCTCACTGTCAAGAAGTTTCTCCCTACTTCCAGGTTGCTTCTCTCTTTGATCAGTTTCCAACTAATAATAACAGTATGAGTTTTACCACTAGCCAAGAACCAATGATTTTGTTCAAGATGGCAGTGACCTTATTTTCTTCTCAAATCCTTTTACTGATGAGATGAAAATACTAGCTTGGACCAGATTAAAAACTTGTTAGTACTTTGTATAAAAAGTTGAAACTCATGATAAACAAATAAAACCAACATAGATCAAAAGAGGTCCCCATAACCCAAACTTTAAGACTCTTGACTTCAGGTTAGTAGTGGTCTCATTCTCTAGCCATTTTTTTATTGTGAACTGGAACTTCTCAACCGACATAACTGGGAGTTATCGCCAACAGAAGACTTATTAAGTCACATCTCATAGCAGATGTAGATTCCAGGGGTTAAATTGTATCTGTGATTGACAAGAGTGGCTATTCACCTGGACTGTATATAGCAGACTACATCATAACCCCTCTTAAATAGGCTATTTAGCTGCAGAGACGGTAGCAAAGAGAATTTTGTCTTCGATCAATTAACATCTGTGAAGCAGATGGCGAGAGACCAAGTGCAGAGCAGATTCTCTTTCTCCCTAATAAGTTCCATCTGTGGTTATAAATTGCCATGATGTCTCCAGAAAAAGCATCTCATATGAAATACAGTAGTGGTGTTTAATATTAAATGTAGAACCCACCTCCCTGTTTCTATAAGCACTCACAATAATTAAAGCAAAATGTAGAACGTTATGGTCTTAATACTGTTTATTGTTTTAAAGATAAATTAAAAAATCCTTAAAATTGGGCCTGGCAGGCAACCAACCAATCCTGTAAATCTTTTAGTTCCCAAAAATCACTACACTTTGCACTGGTTAATAGTCTGACCACTGCATTTTTCACTACTTGTAATTTAGAAACCCTCAAGGCTAGTCCCATGAGAAATGGATTACAGTAGTCAAAGACTTGATCAGGATTTCAATCATATCAAAATAAAGCTGAATGCATTGCCTGTTGATTCATACATTACCTATTTGTAATGACAATTTTGAGACCTTGGGAGCAATCTACATGTTGATTGTAGATTTGACATAAACATTCCTCACTTACCTTTCTCAAGTTCTCACTGAGGCTTTGAGATGAAATCGCTGTATTAGCAACCTGGAAGATAAATTGGATTCCAAAGTAAAGCAGCCCAGGTGCTGAATTTTCTGGAGGGTTTTTCCTAGCCACTTTCAATACATCTTGTTCAAAGAAACTCTGAATCTTGCTTTCAGCTAAAGTGGGTTGCCAAGAGTTTGACACTACAATTATGGAAAGCAGAACAACTGGGTAACATTTGGCTTGAGTTAATTGATCCTGAAAACATGCAGAGTGAGGCTTCTAGAACTTTTTTACAATTCCTTAATAATAGCTGCATTCTGCATCATGTGACTGGAACAAAAACGAGGGAGGGGTCTTAGAATGGAGGTATCGTCAACATCCTGAGTCCAGCTGCCCCACCCATAGGGTGATGTACAATATACTATGTATTTTTCTTTGTACATTTGGAATAATCCAATCCATTTTTTTTAAAGTCGAGCTTTCGTTTGTTAGCATATCCTTTTGCATGAAATTTAGT